TTATCTTTGAAAATAATGTGTAAGTCATAAATAGAAACCAAAGAGAGTATTTTGTGACGTCATTTTAACGTAATAGACACCAGTTTGCAAAAAATGACCTTTTCTGACTATTTTCTGATTTTACCAGAAAAATTTCTGATCGTTTTCTGATTTCGAAAAAAAATTTCTGATTTTTAAGTTTTTGATCTGGCCACCCTGGTGTCGATGTGCATGTGGGTGTGGATGTGAGTGTGGATATGGTTGTGTGCATGTTATATCACGCTAGTGGCATTCACACCGACACCCACACCCGGCTTTTGCCTGTGACTGGAACAGCAATGTTATAGTCGGGAAGGTCTTCTGTTCGTAGATCCGTGTCGCCTTTATATGGGATGCACCTGCGACCATGTCCAACCAGTCCGGTGTGGTCTGCTCTGCATGCACCCACCTTAAGCGTACAGGGGTCTTCCTGGTCGTGTGCATGTATGCCAAAATGAACCGAAAAAAGTCAACAGCAATTCAATTTATTGAGAACAGAAGAGAAAAAGTTACATTTCATTTCGAATTTTCTCAAATGTGTCTTTATATTCTAAAAGATGTGGATGAGTTGCAGGCAACTTTTCTTGAGCGATTTCTATCGCTTGTTGAACATTCTTTATTGCTATACTATATTGTCGAGAAGCCAAATATAATTTTGCCAAATTGTGATACACAACAGCTAAATCAGGATGTTCTTTTGGTAAGTTATCCTGACATATCTGTAATCCTTTTTGAAAATATGTCAATGCTGTTGAATAATCTTTCATTTCTCGATAAGTTTCACCTATATTTATATATGTCAGTGCACAATCCAAAGGATTACATTGCTCATTTTCTTGAACATCTAATGCTCTTCTATGAAATGAAAGCGCCTTTTCATAATCACCCATTAATCGATGAATATCACCAACGTCACTATATGTAGTAGCTCGATCTGGATGACTCTCGGGTAAGGTATTTTTACGTATTGAGAGACATTTTTCGAAATTCTCAAGTGCTTTTGGATAATCTTTCATACTGCGATATATCTTTCCAAACCATTTGTATGGGAAAGCCAAAAAAGGATGATTGGGTAGCAGTGATGTTTCTCTTACTTTCAATGATTTTTTGTGAGATTCAAGTCCTTTCAAGTAGTCACCCATATTGAAATACACTGAACCGATGTTATTGTAGGACAGGGCCAATAAGTAATGATTCGAGGGCAGTGATGTTTCTCTTATTTTAAGTGCTTTTTCGAAAAATTTAAATGCTTTCGAATAGTCACCCATGTTGCTGTATGTGAGACCGATGTTGTTGTAGGAAATAGCCAAACTCGGATGATCCGAAGGTAAAGCTTTTTCATAGATTTTATGTGCTTTTGCGTAATATTCAAGTGCTTTCGAGTAGTCACCCATGTTGTTATATGCGAGACCTATGTTGTTGTAAGTAGGAGCCAATGAAGAGTCATCTTCTGGTAAAGTTTTTAGTTTTATTTTCAGAGATATCTCATAAGACGAAGCTGCTTCTTTGTATTGTCCTTGGTCGTTTTTCAAACACCCAAGCTGATGATAGATAAATGCTTTATCACCATGTTCGGAGGCTTGTTGTAGTAGTGCAGTATATAATTCTTCGGCTTTACCAAATTGACCTATTTGAAACAGCAATTTACCCAACCGATACCATCCAGTGCTACCCGTTGTTTCTTGTCTTAGACGATCGGTTAATTGACGAAGTTGTTGATCGTCATCTGCCGTAAGTTTGAGGTCCACTTCATAAAGTTGGTTTTTTTCATCAAACTCTCGAACTTCACCAATCCGAAAAACTGCGTGCATTGAGAAGAGTATTTCATCTTCTTGCGCAAAATCGCTCAGCTCTCGAATAGAGGCGAATGGAGTCGAAGATACTGTAGGATCGATGGTCATTTGGAAAAGAACACCGACCATATCATCTGTTCCTAAGGTGGGCTTGGCAAAATTGAGGGACACCTTTCGATTTTCACTGGTGGATAAAAAATTATTGAACGAGATAAGTCCACCTTTGTTTTTAGTGATCTGGTTGAGGTTTCCCATCACTAATTTCTGTCCTCGATAAAGAAGAAATGGCTTACCATGATATTGATCAATTTGTTTCCTGTGTAAGTTTTCAATTTGTCGATGGATATCACATAGAAAAAATCCCATTCTGATGATGATGTTGCCATCGAGCGTCCATAATGCTCGATTAATCATGTTGTATGTAAAACATTCGCGGGTATACCACCAAATAGCCTTTGATGAATGATAAGTACTTTGAAATTCTTCAATAACTTTGAGCTCTACTGAATTGTCTTGATATTTTTCTTTGCAAAAGCTGACCAAATCTTTAATGGCTTGTTGATCATGTTTCATGTCAAGGAGTATTTCCTTGAATATTTGAGTATACATGAAGGATGGTTCTAGCCGATTGAGATCTTCACTAGAACTTCCTTCATTAGCACCAATAATACTGATAGTTACCTGGTCTCGATTACATTGCTTGACGGCCATTGCTAGTGCTTCACATATGGGCTTGATTGATGTATGGATACCTTTAATTTTTGTCCAGTTTTTGACCCATTCTTGATGACGTTGTTTGTCTCTGCAGAAGATGTATATGGCATCTAGTTTTGGCATACTATGAATAGCTGGTACGAGATCTTGCCCAAGTGAACCCGAGGAGATGACAAATGATATCTCCGCGCTGTTTTCGTGAATCTTGTCAATACACTCCTCGACTGTAGTACATAGGTTCACTTCATTAACAACTGCACGCAATTGTATGAGTGCATTTTGGCAATCTTCATTTGAGATGTTGATATTGCCGTCGACCCAGAACACTATATAATTCTCAGCCATTTGTCGCCGTCGTTGTCGACTCATTCTCGATTTGATATTATGAGCTAAACCGCTAATTGATTATGATGAATAGTTGATTGCTATTTGGATCAAGTTCGCCTTTTCTATATATACAATAGTGGACAAAATTATAAGAACAGACACTTTCTTAGTATATTCGTTTTATTTTCATTTATGTTTTTGCTAGTTGCAATGACTTTTGCCTCTAGACATATGCATTGAGATGTGATTTATCCAAAACTGAGATTTGATTTCCTTGTTTCAAATGTTAAGCTCGAGATACTGCATGTTTATTAAAAATCACGGTTGTTTACCTGGTCAAAATTATAAGAACAACGTAGTATTTTCTTTTTCCTATTTGAGAGAGACATCATTTTGATTCGAAAATGATATAGATAGATAGAGGAACTCATTCTAAACACTTTCATAAAAAATACTTTTAAAATTGGTTTATGTTTGGATTTAAAATTGGATTTTAGTGTTCAAGCAAAATTAGCTTAAAATAGCTGAAAAATGTCACTCTCGTGCACATTTTTGGCTACACAAACTAAAATGTAGCCGGAATTGCTTTTTTCGGAGGTGTGACGTATGGAGAAGATTTGGGATGTAGGTGTGGGTGTTGGTGTTGATTTCTTCTACACTCACACCCACACCCAAAAATTACCGCTCTGTTGTTCACAGAACTTGAGTATTATATCATAGCTCGCTATGGTGCGTCGGTTCGATTTCGACACAGAATGATGGTTATTTTTTTATGTTTTTGGGGGCGAAAAATAAACACGTCACGACGCGTCCACCTCCTACTGCATTCAAATGCAACAAAATCCGAAATCGTGTCGTAATCGGCCTGCAACATAGACCAGTTTGTACGCGCTTTAGGTTTTGCATGTGTTCACATGTCTAAAATTGTTGCATCTTGGACGTGTTCAGACATGTCTTTTGGAATAAACGAGTTGTGATACTGTTAGCATTGGAATAAAGAAAGACGCATTCACCCACTGTGAACGTGTTCGGAGACTCGAAAATGTTGCATTCTCAATGCATTTTAACACGTCAATTTCTATAACTCATAGGCGCTCACGGACGTGTTCAAGATCGAAAAACGGTCACGCGGGTGGAAAAGAAATATTAAACAAAACCAATCTTTTCGTTTATTTTTCACAAAAATGACGAACAATGCACAGAATAACCAACTGAAAAAAAAGCAAAAAGGAAAGTGTTCTTTTCATTCAATTGCTTCACGAAAATCTCGAGCAACGTTCGGAAAAAGTAAAATAGGAAAAAATTAAGCAATCTAACTTTCCACGTTTTTCTGTCAGATTTTTTCAGAAAGCGACGAGCAAAACTTTTAATAACCAACTGAGAACAAGAAAAGAAAAGTTTTTTCTCATCCCATTGCTTCGGTGAAGTCTACGGAAAGTATAGAGATACCAGGGCTGCCAAATCTCCTGATTTAGCCCGGAGACTTCTGATTTTTAGACTTTTCTCCTGATGAAAAAATCTCCTGAATCCAGGAGCTGATTTTTATGATTTTCTCCTGATTTCTCCTGGTTTTTTAAAGGATTTTGTCACGTTTACTTGTGGTGATATTTTGAATCAATAAGACAAAGAAAAAGAGAACTATGACACTATTTCATAGATGCAACAGACAATAAGAAAACACGTCGTTTCTGCTTGTTAGGCCTGATAACATGCGTTTATTTGTGAGCTTATCTTCTTGACGGTTAAAATGTACCTCATGGACAAAACTAGTTTAGTTCGCTTTTTCTATATCAACCTAGAATGCTATTTGTGAATTGACCTTCAGCCACATGAAATTTTTGTGGGCTGATAATAGAAACGATTTGAAGTGCAATCTTATTGATGCATAATTAGGAACTAAATGAATAATCGTCTCAGTTGTACAAAGTTCTATAATTATCTTTTAAATAATTCAGACCTATTGAAACAAATTCAGTCTTCAGAAAAATATGACCATGTTCATAGGTGCCGAAATGTTTTGGATCTAGGGTAGGCTCAACAATTTTTTACAGGATTCGCACCAGAAAATTAAAAATATGGCCTAAGCCAATTTTTTTGATGTCATCTTGATGAAACAAAGTTAGTGTTTCTCATTTCGAACTCGCATTTTGTAATGTATGACGCTGATAGAGATAAGAAAAGCATTTGCAACTTATCAGTCAAAAAACGCGTATTTAAGAAAACATGTTGATGATTATCTTCATTGACTTTCAACTCTCACAAGAATTGTTTTCCATCTGCTGTGCTAAAAAATAAAATAATGTCCAAGCAGCAATGTTCACAAAAACGACATTACATTATGAATGTTTTTATTGTGTTGAAAAGATATTTTTTCTGCGGGAATATTTTTCTATACTCGTCGTTTTCTTTCTCCATTTCGTATGGCAATGGGAACTCCATTAAGTATTGGTGTTCCCGCATTTTTTCTCGTATTTACCTACATATTCGGATACTTGTATGTAACAGCGTTTTATTTTTACGTAACTAACCTACTGTAGCTCCAATCATAATTATATTTTTAATTTCAAGTCGTGTCACGGTTATCTTAAAATCTAAAAATAAAACAGGAATATGAATTTCTGAAGTCTTACGATTAGAAGTGTAAATCGCCGAGCTGAGTCGCCGCTGTCGGTGGGACA